GTTGATATCAGAGGAAGTCGTGTCTCCTACAGGTAGCTCGTGCTCAGTCTACCTGTGATGGTTATGACGTCATGACTGATAATAATAACATCCAGTATGGAGAACAGGACAAATGTGCTCAAAGACAACCAATCAGAGGAGAGAGAGACTCAACCAATCAGAGGAGAGAGAGACTCAACCAATCAGAGGAGAGAGAGACTCAACCAATCAGAGGAGAGAGAGACACAACCAATCAGAGGAGAGAGAGACTCAACCAATCAACGAACAGGAGAGAGAGACTCAACCAATCAACGAACAGGAGAGAGAGACACAACCAATCAGAGGAGAGAGAGACTCAACCAAATCAGCGAACAGGAGAGAGAGACTCAACCAATCAGCGAACAGGAGAGAGAGACACAACCAATCAACGAACAGGAGAGAGAGACTCAACCAATCAACGAACAGGAGAGAGAGACTCAACCAATCAACGAACAGGAGAGAGAGACTCAACCAATCAACGAACAGGAGAGAGACTCAACCAATCAACGAACAGGAGAGAGAGACTCAACCAATCAAGAACAGGAGAGAGAGACACAACCAATCAACGACAGGAGAGAGAGACTCAACCAATCAGAGAGAGAGAGACACAACCAATCAACGAACAGGAGAGAGAGACACAACCAATCAGAGGAGAGAGAGACACAACCAATCAACGAACAGGAGAGAGACACAACCAATCAGAGGAGAGAGAGACTCAACCAATCAGCGAACAGGAGAGAGAGACTCAACCAATCAGCGAACAGGAGAGAGACACAACCAATCAGCGAACAGGAGAGAGACACAACCAATCAGAGGAGAGAGAGACACAACCAATCAACGAACAGGAGAGAGAGACTCAACCAATCAGCGAACAGGAGAGAGAAACTCAACCAATCAGCGAACAGGAGAGAGAGACACAACCAATCAACGAACAGGAGAGAGAGACACAACCAATCAGAGGAGAGAGAGACACAACCAATCAACGAACAGGAGAGAGACACAACCAATCAGAGGAGAGAGAGACTCAACCAATCAGCGAACAGGAGAGAGAGACTCAACCAATCAGCGAACAGGAGAGAGACACAACCAATCAGCGAACAGGAGAGAGACACAACCAATCAGAGGAGAGAGAGACACAACCAATCAACGAACAGGAGAGAGAGACTCAACCAATCAGCGAACAGGAGAGAGAAACTCAACCAATCAGCGAACAGGAGAGAGAGACACAACCAATCAGCGAACAGGAGAGAGCCAATCAGATCGATTAAAAACACCAATAAATAAATAAATAATAAAAAACACTGTTTAGCTCTATTGTACTGGGTTTTCTTTGTCGGCCTTAAAAACGTGTTATTTCTATTTGAATCTTGAATTAGTATTGACTCGTGTTGTTGTAGGCTGAGCACTGTTTTTATAAAGGTTTCCTCATTATGAACTGACGCGATTAAAAGCAGATTATTAGAAGCTTTACGGTCCGTATGTCTGCTCTTTAGCTTTCTGTGAAATAAACACGTCTCCTCAGGTGGACGAGGCCACGGGAAATCCGTTTTCTGACCGGGGTTTGGCGTGGAGGTGTGCCCGCACTGATCGGCCCTCTTTGATGCTAACGGCTAACCTGGCTAGCTCAGCTTCCTGCTACAAACAGAACTTTCCCGCCCGCTGCGCAGACACTAAAAACACTTCTTTACCTGTGGAGTCAGCTCACCTGACGCCATGTTCGGGTGAGCGCTCTGAAAAGGAGGTAAAACAGCCGCAGAATGAGCTTTAATGTGAGTGTTGATGTGAGTCGATGGGATAACTCACCCGTCCATTGCACAACACGGAACTACGGAGCAACAGGTTCAGCCAGCGGCCAGCAGGACACCCCGACCACCGCCGCTGGAAGCGGACAAAATGGCACCCTGCTCCGGCGAGGAGCCCCTCTGATTGGACGGGCAGCGCGATATGTGGGCGTTCCTCACTGGAGCGGGGTTCTGATTGGCCGGTTGGATAAGAAGCTACAACAACAAAAGGCTCGAGATTCCAGCGAGCGTTGGTTGTCTTTGAGGGAGAAAAAGCGGACTAATGTTTCTACCCGGGTTAGTTAGTGGGCGTTGTCCCGACTATACAGTGGCACGTTTACATGTCGGAGCCGCATGTGAGGGGAGACAAACCCAGTGCTGCAGTTTTTAACTTTAATAATTTAATAAATGCGCTAACATAGAATCTATCCAGCCACACGAGTGTAAAAAAAACAAAAAAAAAGTCCAAATGTACGGTGGCTCGGACGTGCAAACAAAAAGTACCAAGTGTGAAACACATTTGCAAAGTTTGAGACAAATTTACATTTTTGAAAACAAATGTCGTCCTCCTCCTCCATCAGTATGGTTTGATCTTTACTGGTAACACTTCAAAGTTTAAAGGTCTGGTATCATGACGACCCCAAAGCGTGCACGCTGCAGAGATGTGCTGCACTGAAGAAGAAAGCTCCAGCTCCATCCAAGAGAAGGAGATGTGGATTAACACTCTACTCTCTCGACAGCTGCAGTCACTTTACACACCAAGATTATCACTCACACTCGGAGCAAATTAAACTTTAGGTTTTATATTTGGACTTCTCAAAGTGTTTTTACACCACAGGTCACACCTACACATCTTATTAATCCATTCACACACATTCACACTTCAACTCCCTTAAAGGATGAGAATACTCGACAGGTGTGTGTGTGTGTGTGTGTGTGTGTGTGTGATTGGACAGTGTCGAGTGTCATGTTGATGAATAATTTGTCCACACGCCGCTCTTCAGGAGATTACTTTGTGTGTAGGAACATGATCCAACTGCTCACAGATGAATAATTTAACACACACACACACACACACACACACACACACACACACACATGGGCATTGTGGTTGACCATCGTTGGTCCTTTTTAGCCTCGTTCCCACAAAGCGGTCCGGTTCAGTTCGGTGCGGTAAAAATTTATTGGTATTTTCTAGGAGCGGCAAACGTAAACACCTTTTACCCCGTTCAGTTTATATTGTGACCGTTTACACATGACCATGATGTTTTTGGGGGTTTAGTACAACAGTGACTTTAAATTTACAACTTCCTGGTTGGCAAAAACTATTTAAATGCACACATACACATACATGCACACACAGTGACACAATATAAAACAATAAAGTCGATTTATTTTCTTTAATTTGTTTGTTTTTTAATAAAAAATTAAGACATATTTTTTAGATATCGGATTATTACCGTTGTTATAATATAATTATTGATAAATACTATTTCTACTACTGAATAATAAAATAATAAATATTTTGATTAATCAAGATTATTATTGTTTTATTATTTGTTATTATATGCTTCGGCAATATTATGCCAATAAATTTTCTGAATTAAATTTATATATTTATTAATTAAACATAAAAGATTCACAAGCTGGACAACAAAGAAACTGCAGTATGCTCCTTTAAATAATATGTAGTTCATTATCTGACCAGTAGGAGGCAGTGTTGGACTTCTGTTCGTTTCATCTGCCGGTTACAGCACAAAGAGAACGAGGAACCTAAGCGGCACGCCATTGGTCGGACTCACTCCTTCAGCGCTTCCTATTGGCTGTTTGAGTCGCCCGCCAGAGAAGAGAAGAAACAGCGCCATAATTAAACAGTGTTCAACTTCTGTTTCCTTCGGGCTGTTTTCGATCAAATTAACGAAAACAATATCAAGAGAATCGTGAGTAAACTTGTTTTACTGAGTTTGTGGTGTCGTTACATCGTTAAACGTCATCACAGAGATTGTAGTTATTCGGTATGTTAAGCTAACTGAGGCAGCTGATGCGGTTCGAGCTGGAAGCTAACGTGGCTAACGTTAGCTGTTGGTGAGTCGCCGCGGTGTTTCCAGAGTTCTGCTTCCCGCTGACGGTGACTCTGTGTCGGCCAGGGGACGGATGAGCATCCCGGTGAACCTCCAGGCTCTGCCGTCCGGAGTCTTTGAATCCGTTTTCAAACAGGAGAACATCAGAGGAAGGTGAGTCAACGTCATCACACCTGCTGCTGCTGGGTGGGGGGGGGGGGTCACACCTGCTGCGGGGGGTTCACACCTGCTGCTGGGGGGGTCACACCTGCTGCGGGGGGGGTCACACCTGCTGCTGCTGGGGTGGGGGGGGGGGGGTCACACCTGCTGCGGGGGGGTTCACACCTGCTGCGGGGGGTTCACACCTGCTGCTGGGGGGGTCACACCTGCTGCGGGGGGGGGTCACACCTGCTGGGGGGGGGGGGGTCACACCTGCTGCGGGGGGTTCACACCTTCTGCGGGGGGTTCACACCTGCTGCTGGGGGGGTTCACACCTTCTGCGGGGGGTTCACACCTGCTGCTGGGGGGGGTCACACCTGCTGCGGGGGGGGGTTCACACCTGCTCACCTTATTTAATACTTTATGACTTTATAATGATGTAAACAAAATGATCACACTGAACAGTTTCTAATGAGAGAAATGTAAAAGATGAATTAAAGTCATTGGATTGATTTAAGAGACTCAAAATAAAGTTAATATTTAATGAAACAGCTTTAATGAAGATATGATTCACTTCATGGTCCTGGACTGAGTCTGCCTCTACACAGGAATTCAATCTTTATTTCTATAGCACATTTAGTGCTTTCCAAAAACTAAAACTGAATTAATAAAAACAATAAGAATATACACATGTAAACAGAAAACGCATGTCACATTTATCATTTTGCACATCATCTGCAGGAAACACAACACAAGAAAAATTGAATAAGATTTAAAAATCAATATTAGGACTGGATGGATTGATGGCTTTACTTGAGATTGTGGTGTAACAGCAGCAGGTTATCAAAACAAGTAAAGCATCAGCAGAATGAACAGTCAATAAGTCCTGTCTCTCTGTATAGATTGAGCCTCTGATGAGTAAATCTGTCTCTGACTCTAAGTGCAGACAAACATTCAGCGGCTTCCTGTCGGATCAATAAATCAAAACACATCCAAACGTTAACGGAAAGGGACGTACGAGTGCAAGACAACAAACACACGATGTGTAAAAACACAGCATGAGAGAGAAAATAAGAAAAGTACGAGAATATAGAAACATAAAGGAACACCATGATGCTCTCTGGAGGGGGGGGGGGGCAGTAGCTCAGTCTGTAGGAACATGAGGGATACGGACCGAACCCCCAACCGCTCTGGTGGGCTCCCTGCGCGTAGTCCCCCCCCCCACTCTGACACGTGTGAGAGGAGCATGTCTCTCAATAACAGTGTAAACCAAATAAAGGAAACTCCTCAAAAAAAGTCGGACGCCGACACAAACACTTGAAGGAATCTTGGTGTTCACGCGTTACTTTTAATGACAGCTGTCCTTTTCTATCAGAAAGGTTCCTTAAATGACTTCTGACTCTATCCACTGTCCTATCTCTACAATAAAGGCACAAAAACTCTAAAATAAATCTAAAAAAACATTTCAGACTTTCCAACAATATAAAATTCAACAACAATTAGTATTATAAAAGGGGCGAAATAAGTGACCAAAATAACGTTTCCAAACTTTTTTTGAGTTTATATGAATAAAACAGAGAGACTGGTTGGATGCCGGTATTCGTCACCACGCTACCAGTAAGCGACTCTGCCACGCTGGACGCAAAAACACTCGGGCTGTTTTCTAAACCGCCTCCTCTCCTAGTAGTTTGTTCTGATTGGTCCAAAATGAAATATCTAACAAATGAGAGCTAAAAAAAAACATGGATGTCGTTTTAATTCAGGAGAAATCTACAGTCTACATTAGACCAGTCGCCCTCACACTTTTTTCCCACAATGCAAAGCGGCAGGTCAGATTTTGAGGAAAGAAGAAATGTTAGCATCTTTAACTCTACATCTTGTCTCCTCTTGTTGCTGAACAGAAGCTCCATGAACTCTCTCACTGCGCTCAGTTTCCCCAAATCCAGATCAGCTCTGTGGGATGGCAGCCCTGCAGGAGAGAAGCTCCGCCTCCAGCTCTGTGCTCGCAGGTACATACGCACACACACACACACGCACACACACACACACACACAGAGCTAGCTGCAGTGCGTGTGTGTGTGTTCCTAAGCAGGAGTTTGTTTGTGTGCAGGAAGCCTCGCTTGGTGCTGCTGGAGAAAGCTCTGCGTCTGGCTCAGCGTCACGCCCGTCAAAGCAACAAGCCCCGCCTCCACTGCTTCTTCCTGGGATCAGTGTCTGTCGATGCAGGTCAGAGGTCACCGCCAGCTCATCCTCAACACTGATTGGCTGTGTGTGCTTCATTGGTATTAAGTTCTCCTCTCCTGTCCAGATGAGGAGGGAGTCACTGTGACTCTGGACCGCTTTGATCTGGGTCGGGACCAGGCCGGAGCCTCAGGCAGGGTTCCCTCTGCTCTGCTGCCCGGAGACGCCGTGGTTCCCTGTTTGTTCTCGTCACAGGTCGAAACCACACCTGACACTGTCATCCAATCAGAGGCTGAGCTGCATCACTGCTTCAAGGTAAGTGTGTCACCTTCAGAGGTCAGGGTCTGTGTCTGATGACAAACCAGCTGTTTCTCTTTCTGTCTTTGAGGGGTTTGAAGAAGAATTAAAGGTCCAGTCAGTGAGCTGTGTAGAGAGTGAGATGATAAAGGTATCTTACTCTCTGATCATTAAGGAAACATGCTATGTTGAAGTGCTGGCTTCTCTGACAACAATGCAGCAGCCAGTATGTCCTCCTTCTAACTTTAGATTCTGCTCCTGAATGCTCTGGATTTGTTTGGACCAGAGAAGGTAGAAGCTTTTAAGACACGCCCCCACATGGCCGTTTGGACGCCCCTCGGTTTGTCAGATATGAGAGCAGTTATCAGGTCAACAGGTGTTGCAGTGATGGAAGCGGTCAAGAGAAGTGGTTCAGATAGAAGTGATTGTACCCGACCTAAAAAGCCTCTGCATGTTTCTAATAAGCTCCACGAGCAGAAACGTGCTCAAACTAGGATCAATATTGGAGATGCTTTTGAAAAATGGAGAGAGGTTAGAACACAGAAAGGTTTACAGACCCATGCAGAGCTGGATAAACACTGAAGCTTCAGAGTCCACCACACATGGTGACCTGAGTGAGCAGGGGGGAGGGGGAGACAGCAGTTACATTGGTATCACAGTGTCCCCTGGTTTACACACAGTATTCAAATGTGAAGTGTGTGTGTGTGTGTGTTGTGTGTGTGTGTGTGTGTGTGTGTGTGTGTGTGTGTGTGGTGTGTGTGTGTTGGTGGTGTTGTGTGTTGTGTGTGGTGTGTGTGTGGTTGTGTGGTGTGTGTGTGTGTGTGTGTGTGTGTGTGTGTGTGTGTGTGTGTGTGTGTGTGTGTGTGGTGTGTGTGTGTGTTGTGTGGTGTTGTGTGTGTGTGTGTGTGTGTGTGTCTCAGGTGTTGCAGCAGTGGTGTGGAGCAGTAGACCTCTCCTCTGGATCTGAGTCAGCTGTTGAAGCTTCGTGGTCATGTGACATGCTCTCAGCAGTCTGATGTTCACAGCGTTCAGTCTCAGCTGGTCACTGTTTGTCCGTCCGTCAGCGTGGACGTGCAGCCGGTCAGATCCATTCCCATCATACCACCGCTCTGCTGCGAAGTCTGACCAGCATCAACAGACCTCTGCCCAACGCCGCCAACCGCCAGAAGAGGGTAAGAACGCCGTCATCACGTCTTTGAACGTTCATATTGATTCAGCGATGGCGTTACATCGGCGTCCCTCACTCCGGGTCTGATCGGGAGAGTATTGAACCTTTGACCTCGTCACTCTGCAGGTTTCTGACCATGGACCAGACCAGGAAGCTGCTCCTGCTGCTGG